AGCCACAATCTAAACTTGCTCTCAGTTATAATCCGGCGTAAACACAGACCCGCTAAAACCTCGTAACAAGTTTTAAATATTATGAAAGGGATTACGCGCAACGCGCCAACAGTTTGATGGATGTACTGTTCCAAATTCTATTCGTCCTCTGACGTTTAATACTCATATATATATATATATATATATATATATATATGTATATATATATTCTTCTCCTATTTACGAACAGTATTGATAATGATATTTCTGCAATGTATTCGAAAATATTCGAAAAAAAGATACGAATATGTGAAGCAGATCGCGATGTAGCTGACTAATCAGCTGATTGATTTGAAAAATTTCTCCATGTTATAAAAACTATTCAATACTTTATAAATGTATTCAATAGTATTCAATTTCTGACTCGTTCCGTATTGCTTTCTTAAACAGTATTTGTTAATAATTCCGATTTAATTCCTGATCTATTGTCACAGTCATTATCACTACTATCTTCTAACATTAAAAGATTTATTCTCGAGTGTAGAAAGTAAGAAAGTGTATATTACAGCCTCCTGTGCGGACCGTGAACTGATTACTCAGCTGCTCTACGTGCATATATTTTCTCAGTCAACTGATTAGATTACGATCGTGCTATGATACAGACTCGCTACGTCTGTACCTAATAGTTTGTAGCGCATTTTAATAAAAATTTGATTGATAATAAAGTCCCTGATATGTTTTATTACATATAGAGTTAGTCATAGAAATCTACATATACTTTCGCACAAAAGTCATAGGACACTTTTATTTTTAATATTCACTACTTATCGTGAATGATTCTGTATATATATTTTGTAATATGATATATTAACAGTGTATTTATTGTTTTATATTTTATATTTATCGTATTTAACTTGTAATTCATACTAATTGAATACTATTGTACTATTCTATACTATTTCTGTTATACAAACGTAGTACTTGTCCTAAAATTTCTGAGTAGGTGTATACATATTTATAACAACATCTATCAAATTTCAAATATTTAAAACAAAAGAAATATAAATAGAGTCCATTTCTAGAATATTAATAATGCTTTTAAAATTTATATTTATTTTCTCTATTGCTGAATAAAGCATAGTTTGAAAATCAGATGTTCAAATGTTACGAGTATTCTATGGTTTATGTTTGCTAAGATATATATAATAAAATTCTAAAAAGTAGAATGAGGGAATATAAAAAATAGAATAAAATTCTTTGAAATACAGAAAGGAAAAATAAATAAATAATAAATAGAATAACTTTTTAATAGAGTAATCGTCTAAAAGAAACTCATCACGACCTATTGAACACAATGTAATTTAAAAATTTGCTTTTTTCTTCCGAAAATGTGTCAAATGTATTTTCTATTCCATTCCTGTTCTCCGTGTTTCCGATATACGTTTGGGAAGAAAATGCCCCAGATAGCACGAGCGAGGCGATCAGGCTCCAATGTTTTCTCAGTTTTGTAAGAAAGCAAGGGGCACGCTCGTGTATACGTATATTAATTACATACGGAAGGTTCAACGATAGCAGAGCGAATTAAGCTCGTCGAATAACAGAATTCGTTAATGCCTCTCGCGTGAGGAAGATCGATTGGATTTACCTTGGTGGGCTGCGCTAACGCAATTCAGCGTAGTCACTCCCCTGGCGGCGTTTTGGCCTCGTATACAGCTCGCTCTCCAAACTTCCTCGCACGAATTAACCCGCAGACCGTGTGCACGCGTGCAGCGAAAACCAGAAGCACATCTTGTCGTAACGAGACGGAGCGGTTAGGTATAATGCTTGTAACGAGGCTCGCACCCTCTGGCGTGTTTGTGGTGTAACGTCACAAAGTTACATTCTACGTGAGCCCGAGCTTACCACTGCGTATGTGCACGGAGTTGAGGGTTGCAACTGTCGACTCTCACCAGGTGGGCTGTAATAAGTTCGTACAAGTTGCCGCCAGGTCTACACCTGCATCGTGCGACAGCACACCTTCCACGCTTTTCATCCTGTCCTCTATCGTATTCTCCTTCTTCGTATCGTATCGACACGTTTGTTCCACGACACTTTGACCGCACTTTCACGCTTAATCGAGGGCTCGTGTAGTTGATTCTCCGGTTTATACGCATCATCTCGCGTGTCCTTGCATATCAGTTACGCTGTATACTCGATCTTGAAACTCTGCCGGGCATAAACGTGAATAAACGGGAGGTTAAGGAAAAGAACAAAATATTTTTATATTGTATATATACAGCTGGAAGGGGAAATAATTTTAGAGGCACTGTTTCTCACAGACGTACGTGGATATATGTATAAGTACGTATTGCGCCGTAAAATTCGTATCCCGTTCGTGTTATCGAATCATATAGCGCGCGATATTCTTCGCGAGGTAATACGTCCTTCTATATCTAGCCTGTATCATAGACAACTTACCAGGTTCTCAGGGAAATTCGATATATCACACGTGCCGGGTGACTATCTTCGACATAAATTCTGGTTGCGCGCCTCTGGTCGCGATGCGATATTAAGAAAATTCAATTTCCTTGCCGTGAGACCATCGCGATGCGAACGGCATATACGAGGAATGGGAACGGATTTTCGGTTCGTAGATCGACGAGGCAAATCTTACGAGCGAGAGTTAAGTTTACTCTCAGTTTACACGACAGTCTAGGCCGCGACCTGGCGCAGGACAGCCTCGGCGACTTCTGATTTGTTGCGCAAACATTTCGAGCTCATCCTCGACGAAGCTATTCCTATCCTTGCGAAACTTCATAGAGGAAATTGCTGTGAACCGGATGGCGTGCCATGGGGGTAAGACGTTTGTACGCGTGAGTACGATGAGTACACGGTATGTCGAGCGGACTCTTAGCAGGCAACCGGGCTCCGGAGTTGCCCGGGGTAGAATGTATCCGCATCAAAGGGATTTTAACGTCTTTATGTACGCGCGTCTATTAAGGTTTGCGTGCGTGCGTATACTCGCATACTCGTATATACACGCGGAAAGAAATAGACGGTGAACTGCTGCGGAATGCCGTCTACCGACTATTCAAATGTTTCCTCTTCGCCGTTTGCTACATTTCGCTGAGTTATCATTCTTTCGGTACGAGTGTTGTGCCGGTTGCAAAGGTTTTAACGAGCTCGAGGCTTCTGCCTCTATGTCGTTGTCGACCGATTTGACCAAGAAATTTATCTATGCATGCACTCGGATATGTCATCGGACTCCGGAAGATTGTAATAATAAGATTCGATGAAATTTCAATCAGGTTTAATAGCGCTTTACGGATTGTGACATTACGGAGAATAAGATATTATCGGAAGATTTATGTATGAAATATGAAATATTATTTTGTCGCAACTGTACGAGAAGGTGGAATACTTTGAGCAAAGAGTAGTTATTGATGTTGCTTCCAATTCTTTTCAGAAAATTCTCATTTCTTCGTTCCGTTTTTAATAATCAGCATTATGAATATGAAATAAAAGTATTTAAGAAATAAATAAATTTTATATGTAATTATATGAATGTATTATAATTTTATAATATATAATATATAATATAAATTTTATGTATTATGTACACATAAAATTCATACATTTCTTAAATATTTTTATATATATATATATTTCTGTTATTTATTGTACATACAATCTCGTTAGAAATCAATTTTCTAATTTAGAAGATTCAACTTACTAAAACGAACGTGATTTTATTTGAATCAAAAAGCAACTGTTAACTGTACGTTATTAAAAGAATTCACATTAGAAAATTCAATTCTTTTTTTTTTTCAATCCTACTTATACGAAAACGACGTTTCTTCTTAAATGTTTCGTCACTGGGAAATTAGATCACGATCGTTTCAACGCGTGGAATGAATGCTAAATTAGATCGAACGAATTGCTATTGTTTGATCGCCACAAAAAGTCGAGAGGAACATCTAAACTCTCAAGATGGATTTCGGTTAATTTTCTCTTTGAAGAAAACATAAAACTTGCTATGATAAATTTTTTCGTGAATTGCTAAGCATCTCGCGACATGTAACGACCATGCTTTTTCTTCATTGTTAATTTCTATTTTACCCCTCTTACGAAAGATAAAACAAACATTCGAGCAACTTGTTCGACGTATAACGAGCTTGTGGACTAAAGATAACATCGTCTTATTAATCTTCGTTCCATTATTTTCGCTGGAATCTTTACTGATTCTGCTCGTGCGAAACTCAGAGTACGTAAGTCTCGGTTCGTTTAACGACCGATAAAGGGATACTTATATCGGTGTCGAGTGCCAGCAAACTTTGCCAGCACGAGACATCTGCTTTTCGGCTGTAAACAAGCGTGAGCGTCTTGACAAGCGTAATGTGGCTTTAATCGCGATACAGAGCTGTGCAGACTTATTTATTGTTTATCGTTTGCCAACAGTTTCGCGCCTTCCCCATAATGTCTACGCGATAATGTCACTTGTAATTTTTATCCTCAGGTTTTTTTCTATTTCCAACCGCGCATTCGCTTTGACTGTCTGCGTGTAACTTCCAAGAACAATGCTTCCACTCGATTTATTTGTTAAACTGGATTCAATTGGACTTTGCAATCTGTTTATTACAATTTCTATAATTTTCTCTTATGATTATGTAAACGAATTTTATTGAAATTTAATTTAAATATTACATTTGAGATTTAATTGTTTGTCTCTTTAATGTTTAACGAAACTGATTAATTCATGATTCAAGCTGTTAATATTACTTAACGCAAAAATCGGATCTCTATTTTAAAATTGATATCGTCAATTTTTCAACCAGAATCAATTAACTATAATATAACGTAATCGTTTGTAATCTTACCACATGTATTTACCTATCTGAATTGTATTTGTCTAATAGTATTTGAATAGGTGAAATCGAAAGCCGCACTTTCAATCACATATTTCTTCACAATCTTCAACGAGTAACGAGTTCGATCTCATAGATTTCGCATCGAGAACTCCATCAGTCGCTTTACGGGAGAAAATGGAAGAGAAAGAAGAGACAATCTCTGTGCAATCCCGCGAGCGATATGGTTCGGCTAGGGAAGATGGCTCGGAGCCCACTGGCGAGAAGCATGTGGTATATATAACATGAGACGACTCCGCTTCTGCCGTTTGTCATTACGACTGGCCACATTTTATTTATAATAATTGGTTAGAAACAGTTACGTGGTTCTGGCTTAAGGTGGGGACCGTGTGGAATTTATGAAGTCGAGGGGGATCTGGACCGAGCCAGGAGATTCTGGGGTGTCTTGGTCTCTTGGAGGCAGTCCAGATGCGGCTACGCTTCGGCCAACTCCCCCGCATAAGGGGTTTGGCTATCTTACCACGAAGAGACAGATCGCGTTGCCTGCCACGGAGCATAGCCGGAATGATAAACGAGCGCGATGTTGCTGTATAATCATGGCTCTAAGACACCACCAATCGGGAACGTCCTGCTTGTCAGTTGTCTCGTCATGTGACGTGCAACGGTCTCGATGAGATTGGGATTTGCACTTGTGTGACGAAACATTGCTCTGAACGTGTATGTGGTAAATTTCGGCGTGACGTGTATAAAATAAATTTTAAAGGAATCCCTTTATCTTAAGAAATTAAGATGACTGGTTAAGGTATTGTTAACATTTCACTTCAATTAAATCTCGTTTGAAGATCCAGCAACAGTCGATCATAGTACATAGTATGTAGAATATGAAACTCGCTGGATAGAATGGCAAGGGAAAGAAAGTGGAATCAAGGATCAAGCGTGGTACCTTCTGTTTGCCATCGGCGTTTTATCCATCCCATAGGTGTTACTCTCACCGTCTGTCTGTCTCTCTCATTACCCAATGTAAATTCTAAGTTCTGCTCCTGTGACTTTTTGTCGGGCGAATCCTCGCAAATCGGTCTGAATACGTACGGCGTGCAAAGTGCGGAGAGAGCCCAGCCAAGTCTAGACACCTCAGGCTTGGCTATAGGTTCCTGGTTCCTGGCTTTACTGCGAGGACAACCCTCGTTCTCCATTCCCGTCTTGGTATAGGGCGAGAACATTCACATAATTTCTCGCGACTTGATGCCAGACCGTTCTTCACCGGACAAGCCGACGAATTGTAGGCACCCCGAGCCACCTCCATTGCTGCTTCCACCACCACTACCACCATCACCATCACCATCATCCGCGCCACCGACGGCAACGGCCAAGTCTCCGACGTTATTGCTGATCCCGGAGATTTATGGTAGACCTCCTGCACACATGGCGCTTTAATTATGTGTGCTAGCCGAAATGAATTGGCGAATATTTTATACGACAGGGAGCTGGCCCCCCCTCTTTGACCTAGCAGCGCCCCCTTGGCTCGTCGATTTATCACACGGCTTATTTATTAGAGGCCTATCATTGGATCACGGATCCAAGATGCATGGAAGATATTCTTCCCCTGGAGAGCGTACGGCTATTAGCTTGAAAATTTTCAATCCACCATGAAATTCCTCGGTGATCATCGTGGAATACTTCTCTTGTACGGGGTGCTGCGATGCAGAATTTTCGCCACGAGGTACCATCAGCATATTTTTCCAGTACCTAAGATATTAAGAGGAATAATCTCATTGTTTCGCTTTCTTTTTATCTTTCCTTCTACACGTGTTGCACAGAAGGAAAGTGATCCTATTGTTTTCAACGTGATTTAACACGAATCCAGGCTCGTCGCACACACTAAAAGGTTAGCCATTTTCTCCATAATTCGGGAAAGGCTGATAAACTAACTACTTGTTAAATCAACAGTCGAAATCGAAAATTGAAGATTCATTCTGCAAATCGATTAAATAAGAAATTATCAGTGACGATGCCCACTTCCAGCATAGTTTCCTTGATTGTAGTACAGCTGTACATTTGCATTTCATTTTAAGCAAATTTAAGTATAATACTAGATCATGTCGTACGAAATGTCAGATCTTTTTGTAGTTTATGCTGGATATTTTTGAAAATTATTTTCAAGTTTAATCAAATTAGACATTCTTAATACCCTTTGCAGTATTGGTTTGTAGAAGTGATAAACTTTGGATTAACAGAGTCTTTGTCCCTGTGAATGTTTTCTGACGCAAGAAAATACATCGATTCGAAACTTTTAAAAAGATGAAAATGGCGAGGGAGAATTTCATAATCTAATTCTGAAAGATTTTGATACAATAATTCATGAAATATGGAGTCTTGCGTTATTATGAAGGAGCATAGGTCCATGTCGATTTAGAAACATAAAATTCGGAATTCATTTGAAAATATCTTACCTAAATGGAGAATGTAATAAACTTTGCAAAAATAACAATCTCTGTGTAAACCAACACTCAAATATTGAACGAGCACCGGATGCAGTCTAACCACAATATTTCATGTGACACGACTTAATACAATTACAAATGTGATTACGAAAAATATCGACTCAAACACCAGCGTTCTTTAACTGGGTTAAAATATTGCAGAGACGTACACAAACATTTCTGGCATTACTATGTATCTAACAATAACGTAAGAAAGCATATTGTAATGATAAATTTAAATAAAAAAAAAGAACTTATCGTCGTTTCTTTCATATACACATTTCTCGGTGCACGCATAAAAATTTCAGTCGTTGAAGACATATTGACAATCCCGTTCTCACGTAGGGACCATCTGGTGTCATCCGTGTATTTCTCGCTCCCGCGACGACACTAATTGGATGATTCAATACCACGGAAACGTGATCGGAAACGCGATCATACAAGCGCCACGATTCGTTACATGCAATTTTTCTACGTGGATACCCCTCGTCCCGCTACTCCGCCAGATAAAAGGGGAAAGAGATAGAAAGATCGATCGGACACGTGCGGTGGCGCGTATCACCGGCGTTCTGCTAATGACGATAAAGTGCGTCCAGGAGTCATTCGATTCTTTTTCAATGTAGTTATCTTTACTACGTTTCTGGTCCCTTTGCGAACGTAGACCGCAATTATACACCGATACATATGTACTTTTAATCGATGAAAGAAAATCGATGAAAGTTTTTAATTTTAATTAAAAAAAAAAAAAAAAAAAAAAAAAAGAAAAAACGTAGAATCTCGAAAGAAATATCGAGGATAAAACGAAAATGTTAGAACGTTCAAAAGTAACACGATTGAATAAATAAATAATAAATTCAAGTCAACAACAAATATTCATCATCGCCTATTAATAATAAAATTTTAATAATTGTAAATTATGTCATATGTTTAACGATACAAGCGAAAAGTAGATAAATGATGGTGAAATATCCGAATAACTAGTAGTCAAGATCAAGCATTACACGGACAGTCACAAATTAACTCGTTGTATATATAAACGTATCCATTTTGTTATAAATTGACATTTGCATTATTGAGCTAATGCTTAATTTGTTTACAACGATAGTCGTGCATTTGTTTCAGAAAATATTAATCGTAAATATTTTTTTTTATTTTTTTTGTTCCAGGTAAGTCATTTGGTGAACGTGTTACCGCACAGCATTGGATAAAAAGTAAAAGGTAGTTATTTTCAATATTCTTTAGCCGAAGAAAGGCAAAGAACGAAGCAGATGTCGCGAGGTGGCTTCATGCCAATTTCGGGCGGTGCTTGCAATCAAATTACACGGAAACACTTTATCTTAATGACCACGTTCCTACTGCACGGGACCCTACATTTGTAGTAATTTTGCATCAGCGACGACGTATTTACTTTAACTCTAATCTAATAAGAAACGTGTAGCTCGGTTACGACGTCATGTTACTTTAAATGCGTCGCGTTTATTGAAATGGTAACTTTACCAATTATCGTTGATAATTTATCTTATCCATGTCCATTTTCAACGCCATCGCCATCAAAATTTACGCGAAAGTTATTCTGAAACCACCCGTGGAATCTGGACTTATAAATGCAAAGCAATATAGTTAAATATACGGATATTTGTATAACTTTTGTCAAAAAGTAGCTTTTCCTTTCGCGATTTTGCAGATCCAATGTCGCCTGTTTCTGAGATTTGCGACACTATTTATAATTCGTGCAACAAAAATGAAGATGAATTTTCTGTTCCACACGATTACACAGTTGCTTCTTGATTTCACGTTCAAATGGACCGTCCAACTGAACAAAATAAAGATGAATAATCATCTGCTCTCTGTTGTTAACCAAAAGTCGAAAACTGACTCTGAATTGAAATATGTTCGAACAACAACAAAAAGAATTATCCCTTGTGAATTATGTTGCCATTCATGAGACTTTGCATACTTGTCCCTTCAAATTTTGTGCTTATTCACTTAACTGTTTGCAAATCGTAGGAAATATCTGCGCGTATGCATCGAACACGATCGAAAATGCATAGACGTCCTGGTGAGTGTAGTGTTGGCTGGCGAACGGAAAGAAAAAAGAAATGGTGAGAAGGGACAAAGAAGGGACAAGTATTACCTAGGCCAGTGTGTACAGGCGAGCCATAAACCCGTTTGCTTTATCCGAACGTGGCCGAACGTACACGGTAGTGTTCTGCGATCGTTAATTTCACTCGGAAAGAAATACCGAGGTCGTTCCTGCAAAAACCGTAGGCGATCTGGCTTCCAGCGAGCGTTCCTCGAGCTTTCCGCTCGTGGAGCCGTACGAGGGAGGGAAGCCTACGTGCTAGCTAGGGAAAAGTAAGAGAAAGGGTAGACGGGTTTGGGTTCCGGGCGGCTCTGCTAACTTATTTTACGCTGATCTCGCCTCTCCATTCGATTCGCTAGGATACCATTGCCGCGGGAAACGCTTCTTTTTTTCTTCTTCTTCTTCTTCTTCTTTTTCTTCTTTTTCTTTTCTATCCGCGGCACAGGGGACGGAACTTTTCGTGCGCGCCGACTTTGTTCCGAGGGAAAGCGTTACTTTGAAATCCGTGGTTGTGCATCATGTGGAATACGAACGGCAGCACGACTTCGCAATCACGCTATACTTCAATGGTCGTAGCTTGTTTTTAATTCTGAAACGGACGGCGCGAAGTCGCCGTGGGATTTCCCCATCGGGGGGGGGGGGGGGGGGGGGG